CTATATATAGAGATAAGGGTGTTTATGACGTAAGAGAGTTAGGGGAAATGCAGAGTCTCTAAAGCACAGTCAGACCCGGGACTCGGGTGGGAGGCTGCGCCGAGGCCCTCCCCTCCCGAGGTGGGCGGGGCAGCTGCTGCTAGTGCCTTCTCTGGTGGAGTTGCTGGGTTTGTTTTCAGGATAGTTTCTTTTTAAATGTCTTTCTTATATGAGTTGTAAAAAAAAAAATAAAAGCCTGTTGAGAATGATTCGTATTAGAAAGGTTTTCCTTGAACTTCACCATCTTAGGGGAGTCAGGGATAAGGATAAGGGTAAGGGATAAGGACCCAAGAGGGTCACACCCGTCTTGGCATCCAGTGATCAGAGAATGAAGGCTGCCGTCCAGGTAACTGGGAGGAAACTCTCCAAGGGCATGGGCTACAGGTGCTGGGTGAGTGACAGCCCAGAGTGAGAGGAGGTGGGGTTACAGTTAGCAGTCAGAAAGGAGGAGGGGCTTACTGAAGCAGAGTGACCAAGCACCAGGATGGGACAGCCAGGAGGAAGGGAGCCTTCTATTTCTGGTGGCTTTTCAAAAGAGGAATGTGTCTCTGCAAGTTTACAGTCATTTCACCTAGAGGGAGGAGGTTGGACTGGACGATCCCAGCAGTCTGCTCACTTGGGCATTCTCCGACTTCCACCATAGGAACACCCCAGCAATGGTGGAAATAACCAGCTAGAATTACTAAAAAATCTTGTACCTTCCAATGTCGATCACATGCATGCATTTAATGGGGTCCTTGGGCTACAGGGGTTTGTCAGAGCTCATCCAGTTCAGCCTCTTCCTCCTAGAACCCAACATTCTCCAAGAATGGGGCACAACTGGAACATTCAAAAGCAGTGTGTATCTTCTGATGATTTTGCCAATGCCTGGGAAGAGGCAGCTGCTGCTAGTCACTGAAATTCATTTGGTTACAGCATGGGGTTAATGTGGGAATACTTCAAAAAGTTTATGGAAATGCATATTATAAAATAACGGTCATAGGTTTAAAATGTGTGCACCAAAATAAATCTTAATTCCATTTCCCACAAAATGCTCGTTTTTAAGTATAAGGTTGTAGGTTTGACCTTGTTATGGATCAGCACATAGAAGGATCCATCTCAGAGTAACGCCCTCTGCCTTCTCCGTGGCCCTGTGCCGTTCACGAGGTAAAAGGGATGACTCAATGCAGGGCGTCCCCGTTACGGGAAAACCCATTCAAAGCACAGGTCTGGACAGCTCTGTGCTGCCACCGAATCCTCAGAGAAACCAGTTAAGAGTTCCTTTTAGACGCAGCCCTGCCCCTTACGGCTTGGTTTCTTCAAGGATTAACGAGGCAAGAGCACACTTTCCGAGCCTCTGCTCCGCCAGGGTGGTGCGAAGTCGTGTTTGTGAGAACTCTGCATAGTAATGACCATATTTCACTACCACTTCCTCTGGTTTCAGTGTGTTCCCCAAAGTTCCTGTGCTGGCAACCACCCCAAGTTCATATGCTAATGATCTTTGGAGGTAAACGGATGAGGTCCTGGGGGTGGGCCGCCATGGTGGTGTTCGTGGCTATAGAGAGGAGAGACCGGAGCTAGCTGGCCCGCTGTGTCACCACGTGATGCCCCGTTACCACACAGCAGGGAAGAAGGCCTGGGTCAGACCCCGCGCAGATACAGGCCCATGCTCCTGGAGCCCCCGTCTTCCAGAGCTGTGAGCCAGACGACTCTAACTTGCCCAGTCTCTGGTGTTCCGTCATAGCTGCAGGAAGTGCGTGTGGCCGGCTCCCTGTGCCAAGGCCTTGCTTACCAGGATCCCCTCCCCAGCACCGCGTGCTCCTGCCAGGGCCCCTCCAGTGCAGAGGGCTAGTGAGATGCAGCTTACTCACCAGTGCAAAGGCGTGTCCCAGGCCTGCAGACGAAAGGTCGGAGGTGGCACGTTTTCACACGCATTTCTTTCTTGCTTCCTAAGCCTTAGATGCGTGGAGGTTGTGGACGTTTTCAAGCCTTTCTTAGTTTTCATAAGTGAGATGAGCAAGAAAAGAGGAAGCACAACGAGGTGTAATCGTTTCCCGATGGCAAAACCCAAGAACTCTGAGGACTTAGTGCGCCGTCTCCCATGCGAGAGCAGCTCTGGTCACAGAAATGACCTCCACGCACCAAGCAGGGAGCAGAGCGATGGTTCCAAACCTCCCTGGCATCAGCTGATCCCCCTCTTGGAAAGTAATCACACAAAATCTCATGCGCCATTGCAGGGAGTTCCTGGCGCTGAAGACCAGCTAACAGTCGCAGGTTCAGCCGGGGCTGAAGGCCTTGGCTGGCTCAACCCCTAAGCTGCGGCCTGGGAGTCACATCCCCAGTGTCCCATTCCCTGGCTGTGTGCAAAGTGTAGAAACTGTGTCCTGAAGTGCTTTTATTGTTCCTCACTTCTATCTCGCTTAATTCTGGGCAATCAGGGCCACTGTGTTCTGCTGCCTTAGGAGATGAGACAGTGGAGCTCGGAAGTCTGCTGGCCTAAGCTGTTAGAGACGGGGGCGCGGAGGTCGGCCAGGGAGCAGGGACCAAGCAGGAGAGGCTGGGGAGCCCTGGGCAGAGGGGCTGGAAAACAGGAACCCGCCTGGATTCGGAATGGGCTGCCCTGCCCGAGAACAGGGTGGGGCCGAAACCCCTGCAGCCGCTCCTGCCCCTCTTCAAGGCCTCGCCCTTTAGGCCAGTCCTGTATTATTTTAGCTGAGTACAGAAAACGAGGGGAGTCAGATTTAGATCAGAATAAAAATTTATTTTGGTAAAGAATTATATTTTTGATTTGCAAAAGTTGAAAACGCTTGTATAAATGCCCATCGCAGAGCTGCACTTCACCGGATCCATGCACGGAACAAGTCACTCACTTCTTCTTGCTGGCTTTGGGGGCGTGCTCCAGGCCCTGGATGTATTTTCGAGGGAGGTGATACTCTTCTGCAAGTCAGAAGGCAGAAACGCCTCAGTGCAGCGCAAGCTTGTCTCCCACGGCCCCGCCCCCACTCCTGTCTCAGTGTCACTCCTGGCCTTCACCCCACGGCTCCCAGGGACACAGCTACCCTCTGCCCCTCAGCCCCGCAGGGTGACCATTCCTCCTGCTAGGCCTCTGTTGGAACAGGGCCATCATGTGACCTGCTCTACGACACCCAGTTCAAACCCAGCTTTAGGGAAAGCTCTGGGATGGACCATCCATCCCCACGGCTCAAGGCTGAAGCGTCCACATCAGCAGTTTGTGTGCTGATGGCAGCTCCAACGTGCAGCCCCGGTGTGTGTGACTTTGTGTGTGTGTGTGTGTGAGTGTGTGTTGTGTGGACACAGGTGCTCAGCTGCTTTCCTCATTTCTTCTCAGCACCTCACAGGGGGGTTCTTTGCACGAAGAGCCTCAGCTCTAGAAGCTAACCTAGAGAGGCCTAGTTAACCTAGTTAGGCCATGCAATATATTTGCTTATCGAGCTTTTAATAATGCCAGGCCAAGGGGCTCACGGGGTTCAGACATCAGCTAAGCTGCAGAGAGCAGCCAGAAATAGAAACGCAATTGGGAGGAGCAACATGAGCAATTCCAAAAATATTGAGGGAAATGAGACACACTCTGGGAGAGGCTTCCTGCGGCCCCGAGCCTCCAGGGCTGAGCAGACTCAGGCTGCGGCGCGCAAGGTGTGTGGGGAGCAGCAGGGGACCAGCACAGCTGAGGCAGGCGGGGGGGTTCTTGTTTATTGAGCTCAGGAGCTTATTCTGAAAGTGCTCAGACACATAAAGGTTTCACAGGGGCAGTGGTGGGATCATGTTGGTTTAAGCAGCCGACTCCAGCAGAGGTGGGGTGGACAGATCAGATAGGACCAGCTGAGCCTGGTGACCTGAGCTGGCAGAGAAACAGGCCCTGGAGTCTGTAAAGTTCTGAGCTCAGCACTCAAGTTGGTGGCCTCGGGAACTGAACCCCCCGGACCCCAGTTTCCTCATCTGCAAAACACCTAACAGTTCTGCACAGCAGCGGGATTGGAGATGCCCGCCAAGAGCCAGCCAGGTACCCAGCACCATCTGAGTGCTTAATACGGTCTTATAAAAAGGGACGAGGAGGACAGAAGCTACCCTCACAGCAAGGTGGGAAGAGCACTGAATTTAAGGGGCTAAAGGATCTGTTTCAAACACTGGCTCCACCTCTTGCTAGCTGCTAACAACTAAATGGATCTGTTTGTGTATGTGTGAGTGTGAGTATGAGAATGTGTGTGTGTGCAAGTGTGTGAGTGTATGTGTGAGTGTATGAGTGTGTGTGAGTGTATGAGTGTATGTGCGTGTGTGTATGTGCGAGTGTGAGTATGTGCAAGTGTGTGCATGTGAGAGTGCGAGTGTGTATGTGTATGTGTGTGTGTGCAAGTGTGTGAATGTATGTATGTGCGAGTGTGTATGTGCGAGTGTATAAGTATGTGTGTGTATGAGTGAGTGTATGTGAGTGTGAGTATGTGCAAGTGTGTGCGTGTGTATGTGTGAGTATGTGCGAGTGAGTGAGAGTATGTGTGTGTGCGTGTGTCGAGGGGGAGCTGTATGACACATGCTCCCGACACACAAGGTCGCGTCCTGATGAACCCATCAGCAGTTGAGTATTGTAAGTTGCGAAGGCACTGAAACCGCCCGTTCCTCCGCAGCGCACTGAGCAACACAGCACAGTCGAGTGGCAGCCGTTCCTCCTTGTGACCGCGGGGCTGCCACTGCCCAGCGTCACCAAGATTGCACCATTCATTGCCAGTCCAGGAAAATATCAAAAATCAAAATGTGGAGCACACTTGCTAATGCCTATCACTTTTCAAGCACCAGAAGGTCAACATCTCCTGAATTAAGCCATGCTAAGTCAGGGAACGTCTGTATGTGTACGTGGGTATCACGACTGGACCAAGCTGAGGCAGCAGGAAGGTGCCTGCCCCGTTAGCCCACCGCCTCTGCTCTTCAGAAGGGATGCTCACCCAGCAGCAGCCGGCCCAGGTGGTGCACCTGGTTCCCCTGGATCTGCACCTGTAGGCTGTCCTTGGCCCCAGGGGCGGGAGTGACGGTGGTGCTCGCCTGGCAGCGCTGTTGGAGGGTGGCAGCTACGGAGCCCGGGTCCAGACCATAGGCCTCCAAGTTCCGGACCACAGTCACCTGAGGGACAGTAGGGACAGAACACTGATGGCAGGTGCGACCCACACGTCCTCCCATCCGTAAGGCCTCCTGGAGCCTCAGCACCTTCCTTATCCCATTTTCTGATGGGTCATCATCCCCACAACTATGGTATCTTTTCATCCAAATAACTTATTTTTGTGCATCTAAACTAATTACCCTGGTGCTAGCGCTGTGGCATAGGTGGTTAGCCTCTGCCTGTGGTGTTGGCATCCCATATGGGCACCAGCTCGAGTCTCAGCTGCTCCACTTCCAATCCAGCTCCCTGAGGATGCGACTGGGAAAAGCAGAAGATGACCCAAGTGCTTGGGCCCCTGCACCCTCATGGGAGACCTAGAAGAAGCTCCTGGCTTTGGCCTGGCCCAGCCCTGGCAATTGTGGCCATTTGCAGAGTGAACCAACAGATGGAAGACCAACTGATCTGTCTCTACCTTTCAAATAAACAAACAAATCTTTTTAAATAGACAGACTACACCAATAGGTGTGTTTTACATTTACTAGGACAGATCCTCACTGTCCTATGTATAGTGAACGCATTTATAAAGCTGTATTATGAGAACTCCAAAACGTGAACAGAAGTAGTATAATGAACCACGTGTACTCAGCAGTTCCAACAACCTTGACTCGCCTGTATCCTCATCCACTCCTCATTCTTATATTCCTTTAAAGCAAATCCTCCCAGACGTTAGATCGGTTAGATCAGTTCATCTATAAATATTTCAGTATGTATCTCCAGGAGCCGGCATGTGACACAGTGGGTAAAGCCATCACCTGCAACGCCCATATGGATACCAGTTTCTGTCCCAGCTGCTCCATTTCCAATTCAGCTCCCTGCTAATGGCCAGGGAAAAGCAGTGGAAGATTGGCCAGGAACTAGGCCCTGCTGCCTAAGTGAGAGACCCAGATAAAGTTCCTGGCTTCAGCCTGACCCAGGACTGGCCACTGCAGAGTGAACCAGTGGATGAAGACCTTCTTTCCATAACTCTGACATTCAAAAATGAATAGTAAATCTTAAGGAAACAAAATCACAGAATGTATCCCTGAAAGATAAAGGTACTTTTTTCTGTAACAAAGCTGTCATCACATCTAAAAATAAATTAACAATTCCTTCATATCAAGTATCCAATAGTGACATATGTGAAGTCTGTTTCCACAAATAGAAGGCCTATTCAGTGAAATAATTACAGAAAACTTCCCTAATTTGGAGACATCCAGCTGCTTCACTTCCAATCCAGCTCTCTGCTATGGCCTGGGAAAGCAGCAGAAGATGGCCCAAGTCCTGGGCTCCTGCACCCACGTGGGAGACCTGGAAGAAGCTCCTGGCTCCCAGCTTCAGATGGGCCCAGATCCGGCCGTTGCAGCCATCTGGAGAGTAAACCAGTGGCTGGAAGACCTTTCCCTCCCTGCCTCTCAAATAAATGAATCTTAAAAATAAAAACAATCTTTTTTTTAAAAAAAAAAGTAAAATAAAACAAATTTTAATGGATCCAAAGAGAGACATAGACTCCAAAACAATAGTAATGGGAGACTTCAAAACCCCACTTGCATCAGCAGACAGAACAATTAGAAAAGCAACAAACAACAGAGCTAATCTATGGACCAAATGGACCTAACTGATATCTACAGAACCTTTCATTCCACAGTTGCAAGATACACATTCTTTTTCTCAGTGCATGGAACTTTCCCTAGGATAGATCATCTGCTAGGCCATAAAGCAAGTCTCACCAAATCAAAAACAAAAAATTCAAAATCATGCCATGCATATTTCTTGACAATGGTATGTATGAAGTTGGAAATGAGCAACTCAAGAATCGTGAGAGCATATGGAGACTGAACAACATGCTCTTGAATGAGCAGATCACAGAAGAAATCAAAAGATTTCTGGAAACAAATAAAGACAACAACACATCAAAACTCGGGGGATATAGCAAGAGCAGGGTTCAGAGGCAATACAGCAATTGGTATCTACATCAAGAAATTAAAAGGGCACCAAATAAATTAGCTATCTCAAGGACATAGAAAAACAAACTTAACCAAAAATTAGGAGGAAAGAATTAAAATTAGAGAAGAAATAAAACTGAAACCACAAAAACAATACTAAAAGATCACCAAAATGAAGAGCTGGTTTTTGGAAAAAAAGTAAGCAAACTGATATACCATTGGCCCAACTAACCCAAACAAAACAAAAACTGAGAAGACCCAAATCAATAGAATCAGATGAAGAAGGAAATGTAACAACAGATACCAAAGACAGTGGAATGGGGGGGAGCCTACTGCTCTGGTATAGGGAAGAGAGTTTAAGAAAAAAAAGAAAAAAGAAGCGGAGTGTGTGCAATTTCAGGGAAGAGCTAGGGAGAAGACGGCAAAAGAAACTCCACAGAAATAAGAGGGACACTGCGGACCTACATGGAGGGTGTGGACGTGCAACACTAAGGACTCCAGCAGCCGAAAGAGCCTCAGCACCCACTCTGGAGTGAGGTGAGACCAGGCTGCAGAAGCCCAAGCCACTGGTGATAAAGCTGCGGGAAGAGCCTAGCGTGAGCCGGGCTTGGAGCCCTGTAGGAGAGAGTACCTGCCAGCCTAGAAGGAAAAAAGGGGGGCACCTTTCTCTCTCCCCGACCACCCGGCACCAGCATCCTGTTACTAGCCAAGGGAGGGTGGGCACCATTTTAGACATACATAACTGCACCAGCTTGTGTCTGCGTGATCAGCAACCAGCCAAGGGGACGCCTCAGTTTGGTTGGGGGAACCGATGGGGCTGGGAGCTCATGGCTGTGGGAGGTTTGTGTGCCAGGACTGTGGAAACACTGGCTGCATGGGAGGGTGCAGGGTTCGGCTGAGACTTTGAGCAGTCATTTTGGGCGGCTCCACATGCTCAGAGCTCCCCAATTCCTGGTGAGGGCCAGTGCTGCAGAATCCATTTCACACTGAGGACTGCACGGATCCTCCGTGTGGTTCTTATGGCAGTGGGAATGAAAATCGTACCCACTGAGGCTGGTGCCCAGGCATTAGTTTCCTCTGAGGAGAGGTGGTGAGCATGAGAACACTCCAACAAAGCAGAACAAACCTCCTCTCTGGGGGCTGGTGCCATGGCTCACTTGGTTAATCCTCCGCCTGTGGCGCCGGTATCCCATTTGGGCACTTGGTTCTAGTCCCAGTTGCTCCTCTTCCAGTCCAGCTCTCTGCTGTGGCCTGGGAAGGCAGTGGAGGATGGCCCAAGTGCTTGGGCCCTGCACTGGCATGGGAGACCAGGAGGAAAAACCTGGCTCCTGGCTTCAGATTGGTGTAGCTCTGGCAGTGGCGGCCATTTAGGGAGTGAACCAACGGAAAGGAAGACCTTTCTCTCTGTCAAATAAATAAATATATAAAATTTTAAAAATTAAAAAAAAAATCTCCTCTATGATTAAAAAAAAGAGATTTACCACCCCTAACCTGGGTGTCACCTTGGATACTCCCCTCACCCTAGAGCACTATAGAGCTCCCTCACCACATCCAGCACACACCTCTGGGTATTCACTGAAAGAGTAGACACTCCTCTAAGCCACAGAGGCATAGTTCAAAAGATAAAAGCCATCACAGGGAAAACAAAAAACAAGTATCACCACAAATGTCTAAAAATAAATGCAGCAATTCAAGAAACATTAAGGACAGGGGCTGGCACTGTGGCACAGCGGGTTAACGCCCTGGCCTGCAGTGCCAGCATCTCATATGGGTGCCAGTTTGAGAGCCAGCTGCTCCACTTCTGATCCAGCTCTCTGCTATGGCCTGGGAAAGAGTAGAAGATGGCCCAGGTCCTTGGGCCCCTGCACCCCGTGGGAGACCTGGAAGAAGCTCCTGGCTTCGGATTGGGGCAGCTCTGGCTGTTGTGCCCAACTGGAGAGTGAACCATCGGATGGAAGACTTCTCTCTCTCTGCCGATCCTCTGTGTATCTCTTTCAAATAATTAAATAAATCTTAAAAAAAAAAAAAAACGGAAAATCCAAGTCGATTATGGATTAAGGACCATGGATGCCCCCAAAACAACACAGCGCTTCAATACTAGAATGTGGAAGGTACAGGAAGCACACAGAACTCCTAGTGGACATGACCAAAAAAGATCTTTACCACAACACATTGTAGTCAAACTTTCAACAGTAATACATAAAGAAAAGATTCTAAAAAGTATATAAGAGAAATGCCAATTACTTTCAGAGGATCTCCAATTAGACTCACAGCTAATTTCTCATCAGAAGCCCTACAGGCTAGGAGAGAATGGCAAGACATAGCCCAAGTCTTTTTCAAAAATTTTATTTATTTGAACAGAGTTAAACAGAGAGAGAAGGAGAGGAAGAGAGAGAGAGAGAGAGAGAGAGAGGTAGGTCTTCTATCTGCTGATTCACTCTCTAACTGGCCACAATGGCTGGAGCTGCACCAATCCAAAGCCAGGAGCCAGGAGTTTCCTCCAGGTCTCCCAAGCAGGTGCAGTGGCCCAAGGACTTGTGCCATCTTCTACTCTTTCCCAGGCCATAAAAGAGAGCTGGATGGGAAATGTAGCAGCTGGGACTTGAGCTGTTGCTCATATGGGATGCCGGCACTGAAGGTGGTGGCTCTACCCACTACACCACAGTACCGGCCCCAGTCCAAGTCTTAAGAGGAAAAAAATCTGTCAACCCAGAATACTGTACCCTGCAAAGCTCTCACTTATGAATTAAGGTGAAATAAAGACCTTCCATAACAAACAGAAATTGAAAGAATTTGTCACCACTCATCCAGCCTTACAAAAGATGCTTAAGGATGTGCTACACACAGAAACGTGGTCATCACTAAGAAAGAAGGTAAAGCAGAAAATCTCCCAGTAAAAGTACAAAGCAAATCCAAAGTAAACAATAGGAATATTTATGGAAAAATGGCAGGGCCAAGTCGTTACTTATCAATAGTCACCTTGAATGTAAATGGCCTCAACTCTCCATTTAAAAGATATAGACTGGCTGAATGGAATAAAAAACAAGACCCATTTATTTGCTGCCTACAAGAAACACATCTCACCAACAAAGATACATGCAGAATGAAAGTGAAAGGATGGAAAAAGATATTCCATGCTAACAGAAAGCAGAAACAAGCAGGTATATCCATCCTAATCAGACAGAATAGACTTTAACACAAAAACTGTTAAACAAAGAAGGACACTATGCAATGATTAAGGGATCAATTCAACAGGAAGATGTGACTACTGTAAATAGTCATAAAATAAAGGGCACTTGGCTATGTAAAAGAAATGGTAATGGATCTAAAGTGAGATCTAGACTCCAATTCAATACTAGTGGGGGACTTCAAAACCCCACTGGACAGATCAACCAGACCAAGAAAAATAAAAAACAAAACAAAACAATCAGCAAGGAAACAACAGTTAATCAACACTATAGACCAAATGGATCTAACGGATATCTACAGAACTTTTCATCCTACAGATTCGGAATACACATTCTTCTCACCAGTGCATGGAATGTTCTTTAGGAAAGACCACATGCTAGGCCACAAAGCAAGTCTCAGCAAATTCTCAAATACTGAAATCATAACATACACCTTTTTTGACTACAATGGAATGAAACCGGAAATCAACAACTTAATCTCTAGAATATATGTAAACACATGGAAACCGAACAACATGCTCCTGAATGAACAGTGGGTCATTCAAGATTCAAAAGAGAAATCAAATTTCTAGAAATGAATGAAGATGACAATACAACATATCAAAACATATGGGATACAGCAAAAGCAGTGTTAAGAGTAAAGTTTAGGGGCCAGTGCTGTGGTATAGTGGGTAAGGCCACCACCTGCAGTGCCAGCATCCCATATGGGTGCCGGTTTGAGTCCCAGCTACTCCACTTGCAATTCAGCTCTCTGCCATGGCCTGGGAAAGTAGTGGAAGATGGCCCAAGTCCTTCGGCCCCTGCACCCACTTGGGCGACCCGGAAGAAGTTCCTGCTTCAGATTGGAAAAGCTCCGGCTGTTGTGGCACCTGGGGAGTGAACTAGCAGGTGGAAGACCTCTCTCTCTCTCCACCTCTCTAACTCTGCCTTTCAAATAAATAAAATAAATCTTAAAAAAAAAAAAAAGGGAAAAATCATGTGATTATCTTAATAGATGCAGAAAAAGCATTTGATAAAACACAACACCCTTTCATGATGAAAATTTGAAGCAAATTAGGTATAGAAGAAATATTCCTCAACATAATTAATGCAATTTATCACAAACCAATGGCAGTGTCCTATTGAATGAGTTAAAGTTGGAAGTATTCTCACTGAGATCTGGAACCAGACAAGGAGGCCCACTCTCACCATTACTATTCAATATAGTTCTGGAAGGTTTAGCCAGAACCATGAGGCAAGAAAAAGAAATCAAAGGGATACAAATTGGGAAGGAGGAAGTCAATTTACCCTTATTTGCAGATGACATGATTCTACAAAAAGACTCCAAGAGACAATTGGAACTCATTGAAGAGTTTGGTAAAGTGGCAGGATATAAAATTAACACACAAAAAGCAACAGCCTTTTTGTATACAGACAATGCCATGGCTGAGAATGAACTTCTAAGATCAACCCCATTTGCAATAGCTACCAAAGAAAATCAAGTACATTTAACCAAGGATGCCAGATCTCTATGATGAGAATTACAAAACATTAAAGAAATACAAAAGAAAAAAAAGGAAAAATCTTCCATGTTCATGAACTGGAATCATCATCAAAATGTCCATACTACCAAAAGCAATTTACAGATTCAATGTGATACCAATCTAAATACCAAGACATTCTTCTCAGATATAGAAAAAGTGATGCTGAAATCCATATGGAAACATAGGAGACCCTGAATAGCTAAAGCAATCTTACGGAACAAAAACAAAGCTGAAGACATCACAATACCAGATGTCAAGACATACTACAGGGCAGTTATATTCAAAACAGCCTGGTACTGGAAAAAAGACATATGGGCCATTGGAATAGAACAGAAAACTCCAGAAGTCACACCACGCATCTACAATCAACTTATCTTTGACAAAAGAGCTAAAATCAATCCCTGGAGCAAGGACAGTCTCTTCAACAAATGGTGCTGGGGGCCAGCACTGTGGCACAGTGAGTTAAAGCCCCGGTCTGCAGCACCAGCATCCATATGGTCATGGGTTCATGTCCCGGCTGCTCCACTTCCAATCCATTTTTTTAAGATTTATTTACTGGGGCTGGTGTCGTGGCACACTAGATTAATCCTCTGCCTGTGGCGCCGGCATCCCACATGGGCGCCAGTTCTAGTCCCAGTTACTCCTCTTCCAGTCCAGCTCTCTGCTGCAGCCCAGGAGGGCAGTGGAGGATGACCCAAGTGCTTGGGCCCCTGCACCTACAAGGGAGACCAGGAGGAAGAACCTGGCTCCTGGCTTCGGATCAGTGCAGCGCCGGCTGTGGTGGCCATTTGGAGAGTGAGCCAACAGAAGGAAGACCTTTCTCTCTGTCTATAACTTTACCTGTCAAAAAAATAAAAAATTAGAAAGATTTATTTATTTGAAAGTCAGAGTTACCAGAGAATAGAGCAGCAGAAGAGAGTCTCATCATAGTCACTCCATTGGTGCACAGCCAGACGCCCGATCGGAGCACAGCCAGAGTCTCAGTCTCCCACATCGGTGCAGCAGCCCACGACGTCGACATCTCTACTGCTTCTCAGCCAGAGCAGAGAGCTGGATCGGAGCGAGCAGCCGGACTGAACTGCTGCCCATATGGGATGCCAGTGCTGCAGGCAGCAGCTTTACTCACTACGCCACAGCACCAACCCCCGATCCAGCTTCCAGACACACCTGAGAAAGCCACGAAAGATGGCCTAAGTCCTTAGGCCCCTGCACCCATATGGGAGATCCAGAAGAGGCTCCTGGCTCAGCTCCAGCAGCTACAGCCATCTGGGGAGTGAACCAGCAGATGGAAGACCGCTCTCTGTCTCTACATCCCTCTGTAGCTGTCTTTCAAACAAATCTTAAAAAAAAAAAAAAAAAAAAAAAAAAAAGACAGACAGGGCCAGCACCATGGCACACTTGGCTAATCCTCCGCCTGCGGCGCCGGAATCCCATATGGGCACCGGGTTCTTGTCCCCAGTTGCTCATCTTCCAGTCCAGCTCTCTGCTGTGGCCCAGGAAGGCAGTGGAGGATGGCCCAAGTTATTGGGCGCCTGCACCCGCATGGGAGACCAGGAGGAAGCACCTGGCTCCTGGCTTCGGATCAGCGCAGCGCCGGCTGTTGCGGCCATTTGGGGGGTGAACCAACGGAGGGAAGACCTTTCTCTCTCTCTCACTGTCTAACTCTACTTGTCAAAAAAGTAAATAACACAAACAACACAAATGTTGCTAGAAAAACTGGATCTCCACATGCAGAAGTGTGAAACAAGACCCCTACCTTACACCTTCACAAAAATCCACGCAAAATGGATCAAGTATCTAAATCTGGCTGGCACCACAGCTCACTAGGCTAATCCTCCGCCTACGGCACCGGCACCCCAGGTTCTAGTCCCGGTCAGGGTGCCGGATTCTGTCCTGGTTGCTCCACTTCTAGTCCAGCTCTCTGCTGTAGCCCAGGAAGGCAGTGGAGAATGGCCCAAATGCTTGGGCCCTGCACCCGCATGGGAGACCAGGAGGAAGCACCTGGCTCCTGGCTTTGGATTGGCGCAGCGCGCCAGCCGCAGTAAACATTTGGGGGGTGAACCAACGGAAAAAGGAAGACCTTTCTCTCTCTAACTCTGCCTGTCAAAAAAAAAAAAAAAGAAAAGAAAGAAAAGAAAAAAGAAAAAAAAAGTATCTAAATCTATGACCTGATGCCATGAAATTACTAGAGAATATTGGGGAAACTCTGCAAAACATTGGCATAAGCCAAGACTTCTTGGATTAAAAAGATTCCAGAGGCACAGGCAATCGAAGCCAAAATTTACAAATGGGATTACATCAAGCTCAGAACCTGCATTGCAAAGCACTCAAAGGGAAGAGGCAACTGACAGAATGGGAGAAAATATTTGCAAACTATGAAACTGATAAAGGATTGAGAACCAGAATCTATAAAGAGCTCAAGAAACTCAACAAAACCAACAACCCAGTTAAGAAGTGGACAAAGGACTTGAACGGGTGTTTTTCAAAAGAGGAAATCCAAATGGCCAACAGATACACGAAAAAATGCTCAGGATCACTAGCCATCAGAGCAAAACAAATCAAAACCACAAGGAGGTTTCACCTCACTCCAGTTAGAATGGCTTTTATACAAAAATCAACAAACAACAAATGCCGACGAGGATGTGAGGAAAAGGTACCCTAATCCACTGTTGGTGCAGCCACTGTGGAACACACTATGGAGATACCACAGAAAGCTGAATATAGACCTACCATATATGACCCAGCAATCCCACTCTTGGGAATTTACTCAAACAAAAGGAAATCAGCAAATGAAAGTTATCTGTACCCCTATGTTCACCGCAGCTCAATTCATAATAGCTAAGATATGGAATCAAGCCAAATGTCCATAAACTGATAACTGGATAAAGCAATTACGGTAGATACACACTATAGACTACTACTCAGTGGTAAAAAAAAAAAAAAAAATTTAAATCTGGTCTTTTGCAACAAAATGGATGCAACTGGAAACCATTATACTTACTGAAATAAGCTGGTCCCAAAAAGTCAGATATGTTTCTCTGATCTGTGGTAACTAACAGTATCTAAAATGTAATGTATTGGAGTGAAATTGACATTTTGAGATTCAGTGACTGCTTGCAGCCCTTGTCGTTACTGTTGAGGAACAGTGTTTTACTTTGTACTATTTGCTGAACTCTTTACTCAGTGTAGGGTAAATCTAATGAATGCAAGGTAACTGAAGATAGATCTTTGTAAAAATTAAGAGCATGGGCAGGAGGGAGGGTATGGTGGGAAGTAGCACTACGTTCCTAAATCTGCAGATATGAAACCCATGCAATTTGTATCCCTTAAATTAAAAGAAAAATTCAAGTGTAAATAAATTAAAAGTATAAAAAATGCTTAGTACTGTGCTTGGCACATAAGAACTTCAACAGAGGTTCCAGACAGTTAACACAAGGTTACCATCAGTGGTTTTCATTTATTAATGGCTCGTGTGCCATGTACTACTCTGAAAGCTCCACCACATATTCTCCCCTCATCTGATCCTTACTGTGTCTCACAGCACAGGGACTACCCCCTTTCCTCACAGAGGCACACTTGGGAGAAGACACTCATCTGCTCAAGGTCAACCAGCAAGGCAAAGCTGCACCTGAACCTGGGTTGGATTCCACAGCCCACACTCATAAGCAGAGACTCCTAGAAAGTTCTCCATTTTGAACCCAAGTCTGTCTGCTTGGGATTTCCACCCAATAATCCTATTTCTATCTTCTGCAGGCAGAGTAAACACTGCTTTTCCACAGGACAGCTTTTCACATATTTGAAGACACATGTAATTTGTTTCCAGTGACTGTGTTGCCAAGCTAAACACCCTTGACCCCTTCAGCAATTAAAAAAAAAAAAAAGGGATTTTCATTCAGTAAGGCCCAAGAATTAATAGGATGTGGAAGAGCTGAAGTCCATTAAGTAACACTAAGAAAAAAATAAAAATAAAACCTTGATTACATCTGGGACAGACTCTAGCAGGTTTCCCAGCACAAAATCCTACAGACACTGAGCGAGAAGGGCCAGCATGAGCCGTTTCACACAGGGCCCAGCACTGAAGCTCGGGCGTTTCCTAGGCCATCTCTGAGGCGTTTGGAGCCAATCACTGCAGGAAGACTGAGACTTAGGGCAGAGATTAAATCACCATCCTTAAACACTGTACCTATTGTACTTTTTCCTTTTTTAAAAGATGTTTCTTCAAACATTATGACTTTTTAAAGATTACCTTTTTATTAGAAGCTCTCTGTGCTAGGGTGATGTCAATTGGACAGATTTTCCCTTTCTTCACAACAGGCTCTTGTCCGGGAAAGGTCACCTGATAGGCAGGCTGCAGTTTTTCCAAGCACCTGCAACAGGCATTTGGAACTGTACGGTGATCAAACCCACAGACAGCCCGGCCTCCCGCCCACCGCCAGCAGGCAGCTGGCTTGGGCAGCTCCTGCCGGCCAGTCGTTCACAACCCGAGGAACTCGGCATTGCACAGGCCCATCTATCTGTCAAGCTCTCAAAGTGTGGCCCGAGAGGAGAGCTGCCGATCCAGGGAAGGCAACACCAGGGACCGGAGTCACAGGAAGCTGTCCAAGGGCCTGGCCTTCAGAGAACCTGCCCTGTCCCCTGAGGAGGCTACCGCTGGTCTCAAGAACACCCCTTTCCTGGCCTGCTGCCCCCAGTGCTGCTTCTCATTTCTGAAAGGTTTGAAGAATGCATCTTTCGGGGACAGTGCTATGGCATGGTAGGTTAAGCCTCCACCAGCAGCACCAGCATCCCATGCAGGCACCAGTTCAAGTTCCGGCTGCTCCACTTCCAATCCAGCTCCCTGCAAGCAGCCCGGGAGAGCAGCGAAAGATGGCCCAAGTGCTTGGGCCTCTGTACCCACGTGGGAGACCTGGAGGAAGCTCCTGGCTCCAAATCAGCCCAGCTCTGGCCCTTTGAGGAGTGAACCAGCAAAGGAAAAACTCTGTCTTTCCCTCTCTGTTTGTGACCCTGCCTTTAAAATAAGTAAATAAATATTTTTAAAAAATTCTCTCCTGCTAGCATGTTTCAGGATTGACGAACTTTTTCAATAAAAGATCCAGACAGTAAATATCTTAGATTTTGTGGACCTTGTGGTCTCTGTTGCTGCTTCTCAATCCTGACAACACAACAGCACAGAAGCAGCCCACAGATAACACACAAATGGGTATAGCTGTGTTGCAATAAAACTTTATTCACAAGAACAGGTGGCAGGCCCGATTTGGTCAATGAACAATAAGTCTGGCTCCTGTGCTTCTGTGGAAATAAGGAAGATATGTGGCTGGCACTGTGGCACAGTAGGTTAAGCTTCCACCTGCAGTGCCAACATCCCATATGGACAATGGTTTGAGCTGCTCCACTTCTGATCCAGCTCCTTCCTAATGGCCTGGGAGAGCAGTGGAAGATGGCCCAAGTGTTTGACACCCTACACCCACGTGGGAGATCTGGAAGAAGCTTCTGGCTTCAGATCAGCCCAGCTCTGGCTCTTGTGGCCAGAGTGGATGGAAGATCTGTTTCTCCCTTTGTAACTCTGCTTCCTAAATAAAACTTTTAAAAAATTTAAAGAAATGAGAAAGATAGTCTCTTTTTAAAGACTTTAGGATATTCCCCCAGTGTTATTCTGTTTCTATATCTGGCTGAAGTTCTTATTTTTAATAATGTCTCTTTTCTTTCTTCCTCTCAAGTTCTTCTATAAGGTATTTGCTCAAATTGTTCAGGATCCACCCCTCCCATGAGAATTACTCCAGCCTGTGCTTACGCAGACTGCTATCTTAGGAACTGGGGAAAGAAAGCCAGAACTCAGACAACTCTGAAACGTACTGTGAGAGATATTACGGGAGGGGACAGAGGAGTTGGAGAAGCACTGCCACTTCCTGTTACCTGGTCACAAGGCTGTCCCACGGAAGCTTCATGATGGAATGCTGTTCATGTTTCTCTAGGAGGCAGTCACACAGGACGGGGTCCAATTTCACAAGACTAGAGGGAAAGCAGCAGCAGGAAATAAATCCCAGATTCAACCCCCCTGACCTAAGGGCCACCTCGGGGCTCATTCTTCATCTGTCCCTGGCAGTCATTCAGGATCGGACTCAGTCAAGGGACCACAGTCAACCGGGCAGAAGCCCTACAGATGGGAGGCTCCAGCTTTCCTGGGAGGTGAAGCAGGTGGTGGAAAATGGAATGCGGCAACTCCCAGAACCAAGTTCATTTCTGCTAACAGGGTGATGGCTTTCTGGGATTAGTTTCAAGGAGCCTAGCAAGGAAAAAAGAAAATGAAGATCTTTAAAACGGGGGTTAGATTAGGCTGGTAGGACCCAGCTTTTTGTTCAGGAAGATGTCTTTTGAAAGTAAGGGGAAAAAAAGGTGAATGGAACTCTCTTCATTTGGTAATTTACCACCTGTTCACAATTACTGAGAAAATAATACCAAAAAGCTATGACAACTTGGGTAAAATGTTGGTGAAGTTTGCATGCCACACCTCACAGCAGCCACGTGCACCTGAGATCAGTGGTGGCTCTTCAGTCCACAGCCGATGTCGCCGGCATGGTGGGACCCAGGCAACCTAAGCAGGAATACTCTGGAAGCCACCTCTCAGGAAGATTTCTGAGACGCCACGGTTTCTGCACTCCACCCCAGACACCCTCCCCAAACACGTCACTGTCTGAAGGTGAAAACCGAATGGGGCAGACCTAGCTCTCTGCCTCCCCACTCACTTTTTGTTGTCTGCATCCACCAGGTCATTTTTCTTGGCATAGTTAATGATGATGGCTCGGACCTCACTGCCCTCGAGAACACTCCCCTTCCTAGGACAGAAGGACCCGGGAATCAGTTCAAGCTATGGCCAAAGACAAAGCAGGAGCGTCCAGACTCAAGCCCTGCTCAGCACATGCCTGCCTTGGCTTTTGACCTCTACTCTCTTCCCTTTTCCTGGGGCAGGCACACGTGCGGGAAGAGGCTTGACAGCAGAAAAGGAAGACACCTACTCTGGTTCTTCTAGTCCCAAGAAACTGCCAAAGAGAAGGCGGGGCTTGAAGCTGGACTTAGGAGCAAGGAAGACAGGGAAAAAGGCTTTTCCAGTCACAAAAGAACAGTTCCGAGAGGGAGCAGAGGCCAGGACACCAAGCAGGCAGGGAAGGGCTGCTCTCCAAAAACTCACTTGTGGCCAGACTCCTGGAAGAGCAGGGTCATGCTGGCTGGGACACAGTAGAGGGGTTTTATGTCTGGAGGGCGATAGGGCTGCTCCCTGCTACCCTCCTGCACACTCTGGGAGGTCAGGGAGGGCTCAGGTATGACGAAAGATGTGATCCTAGAACCCGGCAGAAGGAAAGAAAACACATTTGATACGAGCATCTTGGCAAGCCCCGCGCCGGGGCCCAGGCCCCGCACTCACCTCGGGTGTCTCCAATCCACAGCCACAACGCTCTCCACCCCTCTGCTGAGCTCCTTCACCTGCACGATCTGCTCCTGCTGCATGTGCTGCAGGAACTTGGAGAGCTACGGGAAAGGGGGCCAGTGGCAGGGACTTCCTGGGCCCCGCCACGGAGCACTGGGGTGTGCTGGGGCAAGCGGGGCAGGAACCCTGCCCTCATCCACCAGGAGACCCATCCACCCTGCCGGAGACTAACCCGGGAGGTTGTGCAGAACTCTGGTCACACAGGCAAGAGCCAAAAGGGAAGAAGTGGGACCACCCACCCAGGGAGACCTGGTTTTTTGTTTGGGTTTTTTTGGGGCGGGGAGGGAAGGGGCCTTTTCCCTGGAATCAAAAACCCAATTCCAGCCCACGTCCTGCACACAACAGGCTGTCCCAGTGTCCAGGCGGGTCCGTCCCATCCTGTGTGCCCTACGCAGTTCTGAGTACAACGCAAAGCAGGTGCCTGCTTACCTTCTTGTAGCTTGACTTCTTTATGTCCAGCTGGTGTCCCTCAGGGCTGATGGCAGAGGAAAAGGCAACTTAAGCTGACAGCAACCTGGTGGGACTGCCCGACACCGAGAGGATGGTCTTGCCTCAGCCTTCCTCCCCACACTCATTTCACACAGATGCTGTGGCTCCAGAACTTTCTGTCCAGTGGGGGCATCCGAGAGCCTCACAGACTGAGGGATGCCTGGATCAGGGCTGTGTAACAGAACTTTCCATGAAGGCACAGAGTCTCCATCTGTGTTTTCCAAGGGGGGAGCCACCAAGGTGGCTATTGAAATGTGACTAATGTGACCAAGGAGCTGAATTTCTAGTTTTATTTAATTTTAATTCATTTAAATTTAAAGTAACACATGTAAAAGCTATTATACTGGATATAGTTTTAGATTCCTCTCAAACCACAGGAACTTCTATGTCCTCAAAAGCTCCACCTCAGGGCTAGGGCTGTGGCATAGGGGGTAAAGCCACCGCCTCTGGCTGCTCCACTTCCGATCCAGCTCTCTGCTATGGCCTGGGGAAGCAGTAGAAGATGGCCCAAGTCCTTGGGTCCCTGCACCCATGTGGGAGACCTGAAAGAAGCTCCTGGCTCCTGATTTCAGATCAACCCACCACCAGCTGTTGCAGCCAACTGGGAAATGAACCAGTGGATGGAAATTCTCACCCTAACTCTGCCTTTCAAATAAGTAAATCTTAAGTTAACAACAAAAACTCTACCTCCAGAGGAACCTTCCCATCACCAAGTTCACAGTCCAGGCAGCCAGGTTGAGCAGGGTCAGCAAGCTCCATCCTGTGGCCACCACCAGTGCTGCAGTGGCACCGCGGAGGTAGGGCCTACCAACCCTAACTGCTACCACCTGGCTTCCTGTAAGAGCTACAATCTTTCCCTCTCCCTAGAGCTTATCTTTTCTCAAAATATGATATTCAACAGCAAGATTATTGGGGAGCTCTTCCAGCAGAAACCACTGCCACAGATGAAGAACCTCCGTTCTACAGAATATTCCAGGACCCCTCTCCCCTGTCCTTCGAACCCAGCAGGGTCAGGACAAATTCCTAAACATCTCACAACTTGTGCAGGACGCCTTGAAGCAGCCTGGGTGTAACAGGCAGGGACTACACTAAAAGCCACTTCCAAAAATGGAGCAAGACTCCCCAGTGAAAGAAATTCAGTCCTAGGGTAAAATCAATAAGCAAGCCTCCTGACACAACAGTATTTATGGGGTGCTTATCAGAGGTCAGGCTATCTCACCTTTACCCTGCGAGTGCTGGAAGCGGCTCAGAGAAGCCCAGCGGCTGGAGGAACTCTGCCTTACTCAGACCCGACGGCCCCACTTCCAATGCCCTACCACGCCTCATGGCTTCTGCTTTATGGGGGGGGGGGGGGGGGGCGGGTAGAGGGTCCACACCTGTTCTTCCTCCTAGAGAACTCTGCCTTGCTCAGACCCCGACAGTCCATCCTTCAACGCCCCACCCCTCATGGCTCCTGCTTTATGGTGTGTGTGAGTGTGAGTATGCATGCGTGTAGGGGTTGGGTAGAGGGTCCACACCTGTTCCTCCTAAGGAACTCTACCTTGCTCAGACCCCAATGGCCCCCTTCAACACCCAACCCCTCCTCATGGCTCCTGCTTTATGGCATGTGTGGGGGTGGGGGTAGAGGGTCCACACCTGTTCCTCCTAGAAGAACTCTGCTTTGCTCAGATCCCGACGGCCCCCCTTCAACACCCTACCCCTCCTCATGGCTCATGCTTTATGGGGTGTGGGGTGTGTGTGTGTGTGTGTGTGTGTGTGTTCTAGGTAGAAGGCTCAGACCCCGACGGCCCCTCCTTCAACGCCCCACCCCTCCTCATGGCTCATGCTTTATGCGGGGGGAGCATAGAGGGCCCACCTATTTTTCAGAATTGTGAGGGAACTGAACATTCCAGAGGGAGACCCCTGACGAGACACTGTCCTGGGTCTCTCCCAGGTCACCTGCCTGAGCCGAGACAGCCTGGAACCCCCAGCAGGGGCCATTTCAGAGAACCTTCCATTTCCTCCACATGCTTTCACTGGCCAAAATCTAAGTTTGTAAAACCCAGGACCTGGTTTATTCGCCAGGCCAGCTTTCCACTCCACCCCCACCATGCCACATGGCGTGGTCCACCCAGTCCCCCCTCAGCCTGTGCCCTCCCCGGCTGCTGGCCCCAGCAGTGCCTTCCGTACCAGCAGGAGAACATGTGGCTGCCGAGGAGCGTGCTGGTGAGCAACGGGAGGTCGGCCTTCTGGATGCGGCACTTCAAGGCGTGCAAGAAGCACTGCTGCAACAGCTCATCCATTTGCTCTGCAAGGCAAAGACCGGATCACCTCCTTCCTGAGGGAGGCAGAAGGCCCACCCGGCCCAGCTCCACCCCGGCCTCAGCCTCTGGGCCTTGAAAAGAACCCGCCCCAGCTCTTACTCTTGAGCCCTGAGTCCCAGGGAAGGGGTCAGCCCACAAGTTCCACGAAGCCAGGGGCACTCACGCAGAGAATCTGAGCCACATAAAACCCTGGAGGGCTCTGGAGCTGGAAACAGCCCCGAGGCCAGGGCAGACTGGCACCGCGAGGGGGGCAGGGTGCACTCGAACTCCTAGGCAACATGTCACAGGGCTGCTGCACCACCCTCTGCTCTCAGATGAGGGGGCACACCAGGCGCCTCGACTGGAGAAAGGGAGATGTGTCCTTGCACTCCTAGAGCCGTACCTTGAAGGGTTCTGCTGTCTGTGGGGTCTTGGTCCTGGCCCCCAGCGCTGGTGGCTTCTGAGAGAGCCGTCTCCCCATTCCCCTCCTCCTCTCCCTGCAGCACGGGGTTCACCTGGACCGACTCCTTGTCATCATTGAGATCTGCAGGATCCACCACCAGGGGAGCAATGGAAGGTGGAGAGGACTTGTCTCCAGATCGCCTGCAAAAATCTCATGTCAGAAACACCAGGAAGCAGCCAAATTGCTCTCCTGGGCGGGGAGAGGCAGCCAGAGGCTCACAGCAAGCACGAGCCCCCAGGCAGGAGCGTCTGAGAGGGGACAGGGAGCCTCTGCTCTCGTCTCAACACTACTTTCAGTCCTGGAGCCAGTCCCCCATCAGCCTCAGTTCCCTCATCTCTAAAATGGGGAAATCCTTTCCTCTTCCTTATCCCAAAGGAATAATACAGGTATCGTTAACACACATCCTGAGACAGAGAAAAATAAAAGAAAAAGCAGTTAAAGTTAGGTCCCTAAAGTATTCTGCTTAGACGAGTTAAAAATAGCAGAACCATCTTGAACTAAGCACAAAACTCAGACTGCATCGGCAGCACGCGTTTGGTGAAGGAAACCCGAGGCCCAGCGTAGAGAGCAAAATACAGACACCTGGGCTGCTCAGGGGCTGCAAAATCAGTGGCTTCTGTTAATCGAACACACTCAAATGTGCACAGTAAAGACAGCCCTGCTTGTAAGCCACTGAGCGTTAGAAAGACAGGGGAAAAAAGCAAAGCCACAGCAGAGTAGGCAGAGAGAAGCTGTCAACTCAGAGCTGCAGTGTGTCTGTCTGGTACTGTTCACAGCAGGCCAAAGTGCACCATCAGGTAAATAGCATGATTTTTTTTTTTTAAGGGGAAGGGAGACTAAGGCAGCTACTGATAGAAAAATTTAGACAACCTGAACCTGACTGCTCTTGCCCAGATGGTTACAAAGCAAGGTGCCCAGAGGACAGCAATCAACAGCTCTGGAAATCCTGCTGGAAAAGTAGGCTAATGAGCTGCACCTCCAGCAAAGCAGGGCTTGGCCAGCACTTATCAAGAGTATCTCCAAGGCTGGGCTCGGAAAGGTAAGGCTGAATCTACACCACACAGCCACACGGCCTCGTGGCCTCGGCACTCGGCTAAAAGGCCAGCTACATCACTTGTTTACTCATCTGGTAAAACGACCAGAAAATGACCAGAATAGGAACAGGTACCTGGCTTTAAAAGCAATGGCTACATTCCGGATGTGTTACTTCTGTAATGAGGGGGAGACCTGAAATGTGAAACCTGATGAATGAGCCTCATCAGACTATGTCCTGGGGCTGAGAACCTAACCTGCTTTGATTTGGATTCAGAAGCACCTGTCATGAGGTGCTTGGCAGGTAAGGCCAGACCAGCAAAACCAACACCAAATGCCAGTATCACCGCAGGGAGGGCAGAGGAGCCAGTCCCTAAGGTCTTCCTCCAAATCTGGGATCTACAATTCCCCCTGAAAATCAAGTTCTAACTTATCTGAACAGGAAAAAATATTTTCTCCCCAGCTGTCAAGGAAACATAGTCTGGTGCCAGCAACCTGCCTAAGGACTCAGCAGGGACTAAGGCTCTCTTTTCTGGGCCTCGGGCCCCATTCTTTCTCCACCCGCACTGCTCCCTGTGAACAGAAGAAAGGCTGTACCCACCACAGGTGGTCCTGGTACGTGTGGAGCACAGAGAAGCCCCTTCCCTTCAGGCCTGACGTCAGCATTTCTTCTGTGGACATGGCAGCAACTCCAATGGCTACTGGGGCTCTGAGAGGAGGAAGGCCAGGGACCAGGGTCAGGGAAAGGCTCCCAGAGCACACGCCAGGACCACCTTCCCACACAAGGAAAAGGACCACAGTCACCAACTTCAAACTTCCACTTGTACTACAAAACTAACTCGGTCCAATCTCCATTTCCTTCAAATTCTCCGTAGATGACTCAATAATTCCTGGGTCAAACATTAGCCTTCTGTGTAGACTCCTGTTATGAAATTATCACTGCCTCTGTTTCATAAATCAAACATGGGAAGCACATGGAAGGACATTTAAAGTTTGTTTTTTAAAAAAAAATTATTTTCATTTTACTTGAAAGGCATACAAATAGAGATCTTCCATCCACTCCCCAAATGCCTGCAAGGCCGGGCCATCCCAAAGCCAGGAGCCTGGATCTCAATCCAGGTCTCCCACACGGGTGGCAGGGACCCAGGCACTTGAGCCATCACCTGCTGCCTCCGAGGAAATGCATTAGCAGGGAACTAGAACGGGAAGCAGAGTGGGAACCCAGCCACTCCGATATAAAATGCTGGCATTCGAGGTGACATCTTAACCACTTCACCAAATACCTGCCCCCAAAGTTCTTTTTCCTTAAGGATGTATTTTCTTTATTTGAAAGACAGAGTTACAAAGAGAGGTAGAGCCAGAGAGAGAGGTCTTCTGTCCATTGGGTCACTCCCCAAACGACTGCAACAGCCAGAGCTGAGCTGACCTGAAGCCAGGAGCTTCTTCTGGGTCTCCCATGTGGGTGCAGGGGCCCAAGCACTTGGGCCACCTTCTACTGCTTTCCCAGGCCATAGCAGGGAGCTGGATCAGAAGTGGAGCAGCTGGACTCGAACTGGTACCCATATGAGATGCTGGCGCTGTAGGCCAGGGCTTCAACCTGCTGCCTCACAGCGCCGGCCCCCAGTTCTTTTTCTTTAATTCCAAAAATATAAACCATCTCCCCTACTCTGCAGGAATCATAGCCATCCTGTAAGGAAGTCGAGAGGGGAGGTAACTCATACACCATAAAGGAGGTGGAGGGATGCCATGGAGAAGAGACAAGAGATAAGCAGTGGAGCCAACTATAGATTCCTCTTGAGCTGGCTCTTTGTATCAGGGCTTGCTCTGTGAAACTACATAGCCAGGGTCCAGCGCTGTGGAGCAGTGGGTTAAGCCACCGCCTGCAGCGCTGATATCCCATATGGGCATCAGTTTGATTCCCAGCTGTTCCACTTCTACTCCAGCTCCATGCTAACGTACATGGGAAGGCCGTGGAAGATGGCCCAAGTGTTTGGGCTCCTGCACTCCCGTGGGAGACCTGGAAGAAGCTCCTGGCTGCAGTCTGGCCTAACCCTGGCTGTGACAGGCACTTGGTGAACTGGCAGATAAACCAATGATCTTTCTCTCTCTTTTCAAATAAACATAAACAAAAATTCTAAAAAATAGTAATAGTATTCAATCATCACTCACTAGCGTAACACAAATGAATATGACCTATATCCAGCATTGGCCACAGTGCAGGGAAACAGGCTCCAAATACGCTGTGAGTAGAACAAATGGACACAGCTTTTTTGAAGGCAAACAGAAACTAGGCATCAGCTTCAAACTAACAGTGCTGCTTTTCCGTATCTGCTCTGTGAAAGTAGTGGCTCCAGCGTCCCTAGAGGCATCAACAGGACTGCTTGTGGTAGAGACGAGTGGGAGGCAACATAAATGTCTGCTGGGGAGGACTTGCCCACGGCCACACAGCAAGTGAAGAAGACTCAGCAGCTGTGTGCTGACAAGGAAAACATCCATACCCACGAACTGAAAAAACCACCACGGCAGACGGCACTGTGGCGCAGTGGGTTAAGCTGCTGCCTGTGATGTCAGCATCCCACACGAGTGCTGGTGAGTCTCAGCTGCTCTGCTTCCAACTCCGCTCCCCGCTAATGTGCCTCAGTAAGCAGCGGAAGGTGACCCAAGTGCTTGGGGCCCTGCCACCCGTAGAGGAGACCCAGAAGGAATTCCAGGCACTTGGCTTGGCCTGGCCTAGCCTTGGTCCTTGCAGCCATCTAGGGAGTGAGCCAGCAGATGGAAGATGTCTATGTCTCTCTTTCTCTAACTCTGCCTTTCAGATAAATAAATATTTTTTAAAAAAATGCATACACTGCATCATTGTTGGTTTGTGGTTTTAAAGAGACACACCTCAAATCATACCCTTTTAGATGCTCACATGTAGATGCACTGAGAAAAGGCAGTAAGCATGTACAGCAAAATGATAATGGTTGAGGCCGGTGCTATGGTGTAGCGGGTAAAGCCACCACCTGCAGTGCTGGCAACCCATATGGGTGCCGGTTTGAGTCCCGGCTGCTCCACTTCTGATCCAGCTCTCTGCTATGGCCTGGGAAAGCAGTGGAAGGTGGCCCAAGTCCTTAGGCCCCTGCACCCATGTGGGAAACCCAGAAGAAGCTCCTGGCTCCTGGCTTCGGATTGGTCCAGCTCCAGCAGCTGCGGACACTTGGGGAGTGAACTAGCAGATGGAAGACCTCTCTCTCTCTCTGCTCTCTGTAACTCTGCCTTTCAAATAAATCAATTTTTTTAAAAAATGATAGTGGTTAACTCTGGAAGAAAAAGACTGTGGGGTGAGGGGACTTCTGATTTCTCAGAATTGTTCATATAATTACCTTTTGATTTATGTGTAAAAGAAAACAGTGAGGTGATGGCTGAATACCTCTGTAAATGTACTAAAAGTCATTGAATTATACGTTAAAATTGGTGAATCTGAATGGAGCTAAACTATATATCAGTAAAGCTATTAAAATTAATTAGAAGCAGACCAGGACCAGTACTGTGGCATAGCAGGTAAAGCCGCTGCCTGCAGTGCTGGCATCCCATATGGGCACCAGGTTCTAGTCCTGGCTGCTCCACTTCTGATCCAGCTTGCTGCTAAGCAGTAGAAGATGGCCCAAGTCCTTGGGCCCCTGCACCTGTGTGGGAGACCTGAAAGAAGCTCCTGGCTTCTGGCTTCAGATTGACGCAGCTCTGGCCATTGTGGCTATCTGGGGAGTGAATCAGCGGATGGAAGAACTCTCTCTCTCTCTCTGCTTCTGGCTCTCTGTAACTTTGACTTTCAAATAAATAAATGAATCTAAAAAAAAAAAAAAGAAGAAGAAGAAGAAGAAGACCAACAGAAAAGTCAGGAAGAAGGAGACTGACATGACAACTAAACGCGAGCTGATATCGTGGACAGGACCCTTGACAGAAAAGACACTAGCAGAACAGATGGGAAATACTGAAAGGTATGGAATTTAGCTAAGTGTTGTACCAATAATAATCGCACAGTTGTGACAATGACACTGTGGTTATGTAAGATGTTCCACTGAGGGGAGCTGGCTAAGGAGTCAATCAGAATCTGTACCATCCCTGTAGCTCTTCTGTAAACCTAAAGTTATTTACAAAAAAGCAAAGACCAACAAAACCGTCACAGCAGCAAATACCCCCAGCCCAGACGTTCAGGCACCCCATGGACCCAATGCCAGTCCAACAGCAGGTCCACTCTCTGCTTCTTCCAAGGAAACTTGGATTTCCTTTCCATTCTGGGCCCATAAGCTTTGAAAGCTATCGTTCCCCTTCTCCCCCCCTTTCACCTCAGCCTCCCCCCAGAGACACCGTACCTGTTCCCCACCAAGGCAATGGCGCAGAGGTCGCCCTTCTGTACCTGAGGCAGACCAGCAGGGGGCACCACAAGTCCCGGCAACATCAAATCTGCAGCAAACAGAAGCATCACAACTCATTTCTGCCTCCATCCAATGTCATGTTTTACTCCATCATTTATTCATTTGCTGGACAAAGAAACATCGATTAAGTAGAAACTATGTTATTCACAATGGAAACTGAAAATGGTAGCTTGTCAGACCTCCCTTTGGGAGGCTGGTGATGAAACCCGACCAGGAAGGGTGTTCTACAGCACGTACTAGCTTGTCTTGGTTCCCTAAACTCGGCTGGCTGGTTTAACGCACAGCAAATGGCCACTCACAGAGTTCTAGCACAACACTTGTCTTCTTTGAGCCTCACAACAGGTCCGGGAGGCTGAGAGGGCCCACAGAACCAGCCATGTGAGAGGTGTAACACAGACATAGGGAAACTCTACCTTTCAACCATCCGAACCCATAAAATGGGGACATCGATTAAATTGGTTGCCCTCCCTAAGTAGGTTACAGCCAATCTGAATACAGGAAATTCTCTTACCTGCTCCCCCCACCAGTTTTTCCAGTACCAGAGGCCATGTTGTGAAGGTCGGTAGGAGATCGGGATGGGACCACAGCATGTACACTACACAAACAAACCAGAAATCACTTAACCACCGAACACTCAATCTCCTAGGGACCTGGCAAAGCCTGACACGACGGTCACTGTAATTAGAACAGAAAAGAAACTGAACTCAAAGCCAGAGAGAAGTTGTGAGGGGACACCCAAGAGGTTTCATTCCTGAGAAAGGCAGAGACCTAAGAAACTGGGTGTCACTTGAGTTTGGGAGGCACCCATCGTCCACCTGGAATGCAACAGCAGGAAACGGCCACGTGGATACAAGTGGGCACAGACAGCCCACGAGGCTTCCACTTATGACCTCAGAAGTCACTGAAGAGCAGGGAGCCAGCCTGCAAACTTCTCCATGTACCGCTTCTATTTCTTCTGTTTGCAGAGTGAACAGCAGTAAGACGCTTAGCTCAGAAAGGGTCCACGTTTGTCTTCAAGAATCGCAGGGAAGTGGGGGTGGGGAAGAAGGCATCGCCTAAGGAGACTGCATTGCACAGCTGCAGCAAACATCAGAGAAAAGTCAGCAGCCGTGGAAGAGAGGAGAGGCGTCCCTGCCAGTCAGAGCCTCAGACTCCTTGTGAGCCACCCCGAGTGAAGTTTATCACTAAGATCACTATGTAGCGCACTTCTAGCACAGTAGCTCTTGTCAGTAGCATGAATGTCCTACTAAGGACGGTTTTGAAAAGCAAAATGCCCTGAAATCACGTCACTTTGAAGACCTCAGCCCTACCCCTACTGAACCCACTCTAAGCTCCTCAGCCATCGCTCCCTCATCTCAGAACTTCCCTTTGCAACCAGCTGGTCTGGATCAGCCCCCTCCGCCTCCCTCCTACAGCAGCTCTGGTTGTGAAAGACCCCATTTCTAGGAAGGCCAGGCCAAAAAGACCCTGAGGGATGGTAGCGGGAGATTTTTGTGCTCATTGGTCACCCATGAGGCAGGTTAAGGGAAGAGAGAAAGAGAGGCAGCGGTTACACGAGGACTATAGTCATGGCCCTCTCCATCCCATTGCCATACCTGTCGGATACAGATTTTTCTCCAGTTCAAATAGGATGGGGTTACCACCACTCACGTACACAGTCACTGCATCCCCTCTGTGGGCATACAGCTTCACAGTGTTGAGCTCCTCCTTGCCGGGGACTAACTCAGAGACCTGATCTGTGCCCAGGGTGGGAAAAGCAGCCGCCACGTCAGCCCGGAGCTTCCTCCTGCAGAAAGCACATAGAGAACTCAGGGCTCACTATAAAACCGCGTCTGATTCAACAGCCTGTTCTCTTTCTCATCCAGCGCTCTGCAATTTCCCCAGGTTCCTGGCGCCCGTCTTTCTCTTTATGGCTGGGAAAACTGAAGCCTAAATGAACAACCCAAATTAGCCTGCTACAGAAAATACGGCCCTGCTCTCCTGATTCCATGCCTGGCCCTCAGACCCGCCCCTCTCTGGGCAAGTCTGTCAGCTTACGATGAAACAGGCTACACCACAGCACCAACAATGCCAACTGCAGGACGCCGGCTGGCAAACGCGGTGTCTGTACTGGCGATGCTGTGTGACCGGCTACAGTCCTCCGCGCCGCCGCCACCTGCCTCCCCTGCAGGAAGGAACCACTCAACACTTTTCTTCCCGTACTTTGAGCTCCCAGGGCGCCTCCCCCGACCCAGTCTGAACTCTCCCAAGGAGCTCTAACTTCTTCGGAGGGCAGGGACCCTGTATTACTGCCTTTTCCGCATCCTCGCAAGTTCCGACTGAAACAAACCTTCTTTAAACTAAACTCCCTAAAAGACCCCCCCAAACCGGCCTGGCAGATAAGGCAGGCCCCCTTACTTTCCTCACCCTCAAAATGTGCCTCCCCGGACTGTTCCCCTCGGCCTCCGCCGCGGGTCGGCGGGCCCGGCCAGAGACGGCCGTGGGGCTGCGGCCAGCAGGGCCGAGGAGTCCAGGGGGCCTCGTGGGCACAACAGACGCGGTCCCTCCCTCACCTGTCCGACCCCTTGATGGCCGTGTTGGACTTGACCCGAAAGGCCTTGGCAAACATGTCTGCTGGGGTGGCCGGGGGAAAGCAAGGAGCGCACAGAAGCCAGAGGCTGTCAGGAACGCGAGCGCGCTACGATGCCCCGGCCCGCGGCCCTGGAGGCAGCCATGCTGGGCCCGGCCGCGAAAGAGGCCCGGCAGGAAACCCGGGCAGCGCAGATCCGCGGCCGTCGCCGCTGCGGAGGCCGCGGCCGCCCCCAGTGGCCAGGCCGGGAACTGAAGAGGGCGGGGCCGAGTGGAGCGGCTCCCGGGGCGTCCCCGCCCCGACCAGGCCGAGCCTCCCTCCGCCGGGTCTGCGCCTGCGCGAGTTTGTGGGCCCGGAGGCGCTGCCGTGGGCGCTGTGTGTCTCAAGGCGGGTGCATTCGTTTCTTTTTTCTTTTTTTTATTTCCCACTGGATCTGTACTCGGTAGTGCGTTGAGTAGACGCTCTGCCAGCTCTCTTTCCATTCAATTTTGCTTAAATTCCGGAAAAATTAATTGCACTCACGTTTTATTAAACTTTCAGGCCTCTTGAATGCATTTCTTTCTTAAAAAAAAAAAAAGATTTGTTTTATTTATTTGAAAGAGTTACAGAGAGAGGTAGAGACAGAGAGAGTGGTCTTCCATCCGCTGGTTCACTCCCCAGATGGCCGCAACGGCAGGAGCTGCACTTATCCAAAGCTAGGAGCCTCTTCCGGGTCCCCCACGTGGGTACAGGGGCCCAAGGACTTGGGTCATCTTCTACTGCTTTCCCAGGCCATAGCAGAGAGCTGGATAGGAAGAGGAGCAGCTGGGACTAGAACCAGCACCCACATGGAATGCCAGCTCTTCAAGCCAGGGCTTTAACCCCACTGTGCCACAGCGCCAGCCCCTGGATGCATTTCTTAAAGGCTTCTATTTAAGATCTTTAATGTTGTGGGGCTGGCTCTCTGGCATAGTGGGTGAAGCCGCGGCCTGCAGTGCTGGCATCCCATGCGGGCAACGGTTTGGGTCTCGGCTGCTCCCCTTCCAACTCAGCTCCCTGCTGATGTGCCTGGGAAGGCAGTAGAAGATGGCCCAAGTCTTTGGGCCCCTGCACCCACGTGGGATACCCGGAGGAGGCTCCTGGCTCCTGGCTTCCGACAGGCCCAGCTCTGGCTGTTGCTGTCATTTGGAGAGTGAATCAGCAGATGCAGGACTTCTCTCTCTCTCTCTCTCTCTCTCTCTCTCTCTGCCTCTGCATCTCTGTACCTCTGCCTTTCAAATAAATTTTTTAAAAAATTTTAAAAGGATGTTTATGGTGTAAGTCTCTAGCTTACACCATATAATATATTCAGCTATTATATCTGCTCCCTGATTTTAATTTACACTAGGGCACTAATAGTGACATGAAATCCACTTTTTAAAAAAAAATATATTTATCTATTTATTTATTTTGAAAGAGTTACAGAAAAGAGGAAGACAGAGAGCGAGCTTCCATTTGCTGGTTGAGCCCCTAGATGGCCACAACAGCCAGTGCTGGGCCAGGCTGCAGCCAGGAGCCAGGAGCTTCATCTGGGTCTCCCATGTGGGTGCAGGGGCCCAAGCACTTGGGCTATCTTTCTGTGCTTTCCCAGGCCATAGCAGGGGCTGGATTGGAAGCTGAGCAGCCGGAACATGAACTGGCCCCATACAGGATTCCAGCATTGCAGGTAGCAGCATCGCCCTCTGCACCACACCAAGGGATCCACTCTCATCCCAGGCTTGTCCTCAGACTGGCACACCACAGAAAGAGATCATTTCCTAAGAAGGGAGCAAACACTGAAACACCTGAGGGCCTGACCCCTCCCAACTTTAACTGTGTGAGCTAAAGCGTCAGTGTTGTGGCTTAGCAGGTTGAGCGGCTGCCTGTGCCACTGGCATCCCACCCCACATCAGAGGGCCAGTTCCAGTCCTGGGGAGTCCCGGCTGCTCCACTCACCATCTAGCTCCCTGCTAAAGCACCTGGGAAAGCAATGGAAGATGACCCAAATACTTGGGTCCCTGCTACCCATGTGGGAGACCCAGATGGTATTCCCAGCTCCTGGCTTCCACCTAGCCCAGCCTTGGCTGTGTGGACAGTTGGGGAGTGAACCAGTGGATGGGAGATTTCACTTTCTCGCTCTCTCTATCTGTATCTCTATCTCTTTCTGCCTTTCAAATAAATGAATAAATCTTTAAAAAAAGAAAAGAAAGCTTCAAAGCGGAGTGTCCAGGCACCGATAGAAAATCCTAAATGCTTGACTCAAGGTCGGTTGCACAAAGGAGATTTCCACCTTGACTGCCCAAAGATGCAGCTGTCCAGTGTCTGCCCACACCTGCTGTGGCCTTGTTGCCAGCCTGCTTCCTCCTGAACTCCAAACCCCCAGTCACAGGTGAATGTCAGAGTTGCTCAGTGGACAATGCCACCTAGGACACATGCATCCCATCCTGGCTCTGCTCCCAATTCCAGCTTCCTGGGAGGCAGCAGGTGATGGCTCAGATAGCTGGGGCCACATGGGAGATCCAGACTGAGTTTCCCACTCCTGATTTTGGCCTTGCACAGTCCCAGCTGTTGCAGGCATTTGAGGAGTGACCCAGTTGATGAGAGATCTTTCTCTTGCATGTACCTGCTCTCTCTTTCTCTGCCATTCAAATAAATAAGTAATAAATAAATTTCATTTAATTAAAAAATAAGCTATCAAACCATGAAAAGGCAGGAGAATCCTTGAATGCAAATTACTAAGTGAAAGAAGTCAATCCAAAAAGGATCATGCCCATAATACCAAAGTGAGAGTTCTACCTGGATATAGCAAAAAGAAGAATGATTGCCAGAGTTGGTGGGCAGGGCCGTGGCAAAGCACAGAGGACTTGTAGGGTGGTGAAGTTAATCTGTATGACACTGTAAGGGTTGCTGCACTCTATCATCCTAGATTTGTCCAACACCCACAGGATGTACACCCCCTAATGAGCCTTTACAGACTCTGGTAAACTATGGACTTCTGGTGTCAATGTAGGCTCACTGAGTCTAATGTGCAAAGAAAGAAAGTTTGATACAAAACCTGAAAACTTAGAAGACCAAGATGTTTGAAGGGCAAGGGAAAGGAAGTGGCTCTAATTGTAAAACCTGTGCCCGTGACCCTGTGGCTTTTTATGAATGAGAAGGTCTCCTCGAACACACGATGCACAAGGGGAAGAGAGGAAGTGAAGGGCTACCCATCAGGCTGGAGCATTTCTAAACAAAATGAGAAGGGCGGGTGCGAAGAAGGCGGAGTTCCGCCAGGCCCAGCACAGCCCTCCTACCTTGTCTGGTCTTCCAGGCTGAGAAGGGGGCCTGCTGGGACCAGGCACCCAGTCAGAATAGCTGCACCCTGGCTGTCCACCTTGCATGCTCTGGGAGCTCCAAGGTGCCTCTGGCACTGAGAAGACATTGTTTGTAACTATGAAGCCTTCTTGGCCTTCCCTGGGACTTCCTGAACATTCTGCTATGCTTAAAAAAAAAAAACAAACAAAAAAAAAAAAACACCTTTCTTCTTCCCTAAACTTATACTCCCAAAAGCTTCTGAAAAATATCTAGAGGATCCTAGGTAAGTCACGTGGGAGCCCCTGAACATGGGCAATTGGACAGAGTCTTAGAGTGGATCAGAAATGAGCCTTCCACTTCTCAGAAAGATAGTTCTTTCTTTATCTGGGAGGTGAGCATGTTCCCCACAACCTGTGGTTGGAGACTTCCAGAATCCACTGGTGTCTGGGGAAGGAGGGAAGATGCCCTGGGAGAGGTTCACAGTGGCTGAGCTGTAAGCCCCAGGAGCTGGCGGGGAGAAGGGAAAGGGGAAGGCAGGGCTGCAGAATGATGAGGTCGGAGGCCCTGCAGATGGACCTGGGCTCCTTGGGGAGCCCTAGACAGGAAGACCGGCAGGGACTGGGCAGTGGCTGGACTAGCAGCCCAAGGATGGAGTCAGGATGCCTCCTAAAGTCCAAAGTTAGAAATTCAAGTGCTACAGGAATATGTTTTTGTATTTTTTTTTTAATTTGAAAGTGAGAGACAAAGAATGCCTGTGCTCCCCCATCCACTGGTTTACTCCCCAAATGCCCACAATTGTCAGAACTAGGTCGGGCAGAAGCCAGGAGCCAAGAACTCCATCCAGATCTCCCACGTGGGTGGCAGGGACCCAAAGACCTGAGCCATCATCTGCTGACACTCAGGGCATCATTAGCAGAAAGCTGGAACCAGCAGTGGAGCCAGGACTTGAATCCAGGCTCCACTTGAATTTGGTGTAACCATTACACCAAATGCCCACCCCAGTTTTGTGGCTACATGGGAGCAGTGAATTTCTGCAGAAAGAATTCAACTGGCACCCACACTGATGGCAGGACTGAAGTCAAACACTGAGCTTGGGTCTAAAACATGTTAACAGCGTGGCTTTTAACTTCCAGACCATCCCTCAAAGGAAGAGGAGGCCCTGCGGCCATCCCCCAACCATGCCCCTCTCAGCACGAAGCAGCCAGCGAGGTCATTGCCCCTTACCACTAGCGTCCATTCTTCTGAGGGGGAGATGTGAGGAGTTAGACGAGCTAATAGGCAGTTAGGTAAGATCCCTGCTGGAATGAGAGAGAGAGTCCCGGTAAGAGTGCACCAAGTGCTTGTCTCTTCCCACAGGCTGCCCTTATCAACACCTAGTTTTTTGTTTGTTTGTTTTTTTAAATATTTATTTATTTATTTATTTATTTGAAAGTCAGAGTTACACACACAGAAAGAGAGAGAGAGAGAGATGTCTTCCATCCACTAGTTCACTCCCCAGTTGGCCACAAGGACCGGAGCTGTGCCAATCCGAAGCTAGGAGCCAGGAGCTTCTTCCAGGTCTCCCACACAGGTGCAGGGGCCCAAGGACTTGGGCCATCTTCTACTGCTTTCCCAGGCCATAGCAGAGAGCTGGATTGGATGCGGAGCAGCCAGCTTTTGAACCAGCGTCCATATGCCGGTGATTCAGGCCAGGGTGTTAACCTGCTGCACCACAGCCTCGGCCCAACACTTAGTTTTATTATGAGAATAGGCTAGACGGCTAGAGAGATTGCCAATTCCAGCCCTCTAATGGGTTTTTAGCCCTGCCCCTGATTGCTTGTTATCCCAGATCTCTGAATGGTTATTATTCCAGTCCTCTGAGTGGTTGTTAACTGTTATTCTGCTCCTCCCCTGGTTAAATCTAGATAGCAATTTTTTTTTTGGGGGGGGGGGAAGCCACTATCCATAGGATTCCGGGCAACTGCTTCACTCCCCAAATGGCTGCGATGGCTGGAGCTGGGTCCATCCAAACCCAGGAGTCAGGAGCTTCTTCTGGGTCTCCCACATGGGTGCAGGCCCCTGCCGCCCATGGGAGAAACTCAGGTGGAGTTCTGGGCTCTTGGCTTCAGCCTGGTCCAGCCCTGGCTATTGTGGGCATTTTTGGGAGTAAATCAGAGAATGGAAGATCTCTTTTTGTCACTCTCTCCCTGTCCCTCTGCCTTTCAAATGAATAAATATTTAATTAAAATGAAAGGATTTAGTGTGGCCCAACCACCGGTGTCAGCCCCACCCCCACCCTAATGGGATTCGCTGTTCCTATTTCCCTGCCCGCCCTCTGGCAAAGTTTTAAAAGGACCTGTTTCTGAACACGTGGCTCTCTCTTCTCCCCTGCTGGCTCTCTTTCTGGGCTGGCTTCTCTGTCTTGGCTCCTCTTGCTCCTCTCTCCTGCTCTCTCTCTCTTCTCTCCTCGCTAGCTCCTCTCCTCTCTCTCTCTTACACTCTCCTCTCTCTTTTTCTTTCTTTGCCCCTTCATCTGCTGAGTTTTCCCCGATAAACCCTTTCCCTTACTCCAGTGTCTGGTGTGTTTGGTGGCAGCCTTACATTGGTGCCAAAACCCAAGACCTTACATTTTGCAAATGAGATTATATGCACTTAAGGAAGGAGAACAAAGTTTCTTGGGATTACTTCTCCAAGGTTAAATTTCAAGTCCAATTCAAGGCATTACAGGTGAAGATTTTATTCCCTCAGACTGGACTGCCACATCTAATGAAAAATACAAGATGCCTAATCAAATTTCAGATAACCAATGCATAGATTTTTTTTTTAGTCTATCACAAATATTGCATGAAATGTACTTATAGTAAAAGCTACTCACTATTTACCTGAACTTCAAATTCCACTGCTGAGTGGCCTCTCCCACTTGTCTGGCAGTTGGTGTTGGCTAAAGGCTCTAGCTCAGACGTGTCCACATGGGGGCAGCATTCATGCTACAGAGAACAGTGGCCTTGGCTCATACCACACAGCCCCAGGATCCCCAGCTTTAACAAATCACCACACTACCACGTAGTGCCTTGACACACAAACTCAGTTATCTTACAGTCCTGAAAGCGAGCAGCCCTAGAGTCACGGGCGGGCAGGCCGTGTTCCTGCTCCCTGGCCTTCCCAGCTTCCCCAGGTGGCCTGCACTCTGTGACCGGGGGCCCCTTCTCCAGATGAGCATTAGCAATAGCCTTTGCAACTCTCTCTCTCTCTGGCCTCTGCTTCCATCTCCACATTTCCTTTTCTGGCACCTTCTAAGGACTCTGGTGATTACACTGAGCTCACCGGCGCATCCAGGAAAATCTCATCTCAAAATCCTTAATTTATCACATTTGCAAAGGCCATTTATGCCCAGTAAGGTGACACAGATTCTGGGATTAGGATGTGGACATCTTTGGGGGACTATTACCCTGTTGACCGTGTTTCAGAATCTTAAATTACGAGGAATTGTAAGTCACAGAATTCTCTAAGACTCCCGTGGTTTTGTCTGGGCTGTCCTGCTGGGATCAGAGAATCCAGGCAGTACACAGACAGGCAAACACTGGGTCTGAAAACCAATCAGACAGGGTTTGAATTCCTGATCCTCACTTTCTAGCCCACGGCCTCGGGTAAGTTATTCGTCTCTGGGGCTGTGTATGATGCCTGCCCACAGGACCATGTGGAGTTTCAGATGAGCACATCCATATAAAAGCATTTCAGATGCTACTTGGAACACACAGATACCTAAAAAATGGTGACGCTTAGAAACGATCCTGGCTAGGCTTTCAGAGTTCAGAAACAGTAAATGCTTGTCAAACATTTTGAAAGGAATTATATACTTCTATAGTTTTAACGATTTGTGACTATTTTAAAATTCATAGAAATAAAGCTGAACATCTTTTGATTATGGTGTATGGACCTTGCCCATTTTCCTGTTGGACTATGTTATGTTTACTTTTTATTTGTTGAACTCTTCAGTGGAGCCAATAAGCCTCTGACTTAAAGTAAATTAAAAATATGCTACCTCAAAAATAACAAATATTTTTAAAATTTCAGTTTCATATGGCCCACCAGGGGCGGTGGGTAGTACTCTGTCATGTCAACTCAAGAAAAACTACAAAAAGAGATGGCAGAAATTTGGGGAAGAAAAAAATGTTACTTGGGTTTGGATTAAGAGACAAACTTTGAGGCTGGCGCTGTTGCGTAACAGGTAAAGCTGCCACCTGCAGTGCCGGCATCCCATATGGGCGCCAGTTCAAGTCCCAGCTGTTTCACTTCCAATCCAGCTCTCTGCTACGATCTGAGAAAGCAGTAGATGGCCCAAGTCCTTGGGGCCCTGCACCCATATGGGAGACCCGGAAGAAGCGCCTGGCTTCAGATTGGCACAGCTCCAACTGGTTCAGCCAATTGGGGAGTGAACCAGTGGATGGAAGACCTCTCTCTCTCTTTCTCCCTCCCTCTCTCTCTCTCTCTCTCTCTCTGCTTCTCCTTCTCTCTGTGTGTAACTGACTTTCAAATAAATGAATAAATCTTTAAAAAAAAAAGAGAGAGAAAGAGAGAGAGAAAGAGAGAGAGAGAGAGAGCAAACTTCGGGATCTAAGAGACACAGAAACAGATATGTACACTACCAGAAGCAGTAGTGCTAGAAGAATGATTTTTACAACTTCTCTTGAAATAATTTGTAAAAATGCATTATAGGGGCTGCTGTGGTGGTGCTGGGTTAAGCCACCCTGCAACTCCAGCGCCCCATATCAGAGCACCTGTTCGAGTGCCTACTGCTTGGCTGACAATCCAGCTTTCTGCTAATGCACCTGCGAAGGCATCGGCAGGTGATCCAAGCACGTTGGCCCCTGCCACCCAAGTGAGAGACCTAGAAAGAGTTCCTGACTCCTGGCTTGGGCTGGTCCCCAGACCATTGCAGCCATTTGGAGAGTCAATCAGCAGATGAATCTCTCTCTCTCTTCCTTCCTATCACTCTGCCTTTCAAATAAAGAAATCTTTAAAATGATTTTTTAAACTTAAAAATGCATCCAACTTTGTGATGCATTATAGGATAATATGCATTATGGTAAATTTTGCTGTAAAGAAATTAATAGCAAAGAACCGATTTCAAGCTTCATCCATCAATAGCTATTTTATTCCAAGGTGACTATGACCACAGGAATAATTGCTGACTCTGTGCATTTGAACCGGTCACAGTCACATTCTGAATACTCCAGTGGTTTTTGAAATTGCTTGAATAATTACATTTTGTTGTTGATTTGTGACAGGTTCTTTGTGTTAGGGGTCTGTTAGAACTGGCCTCAGGGGCTGGAGGGCTCCAGGGAGCGCATGGGGGCTCTTGCTAGATCCGTTACTGGACTTTAACCCAGCAACAGGGGCTGGGAAAGTCCTCGGGTCAGCAGGTCAGAGGTTCGTGGAGCTCTCCTCCCTGCCTTGACCGTGGGAACAGTGGGTGAGAGACAAAGGAGGCCTCTGTGTCTTCCAGCTTCCGGGCAGGAGAGGGAGAGCGCTGCTTCACCTTGACGCTGGGCGAAGTCCTCCCAGAGCAGCCGTCCAGAGTGAGGTCAGCAAACCTGTGTGGGCAAGTCCACCGCACCGCTCAGGGCAGTGCAGCGGGCCCAGGCGTCCGCGTACCCAGCCGAGGGATTACTTAATAGAAGGTTGCAACCTCAGAGCTCCAGGGCCCGCACAACAATCTCTAAACTTTGCGTTGCCATGTTCTTCAAACAAAACCTTCAAAAGAGCGCAAACGCAAATCCCCACGAAGCAGGTTTGCTCTGGTGGCACAGAATAAGGGGTGGGGAAGGCAGAGAGGAAAACTCATTCATACAACTGGAAAATCTCCAAAAACTGTCACGAAAGCCAGCCTCACGTACACCTGTGTCCCAAAACGAGGCCACGCTGACCCCCAAGGATAGAGTTCCCCGCGTGGACAGGTTCTCGATTTATAAGGTAGGCGGCTCTGGGTCCTTAGGGGGCGCCTTCACTTGCGGGACGGAAAAGCCGAGGTCCGGGAGCCCGCACCGCGCCCACCGCGGCCCGCGTCCCCGCATTCTGAGAACGCGGGGCTCGCTCCGGGCCGCCTGCGCCTCGCGGGTCAGACAATCGGCGGGGAAGCCACGCTCGGGGAAGCGCCGCGCGCCCCCTGCGTCCTAACCCCCTTCACGTTGGTGTTAGGAGATAGCTTTTACTTCTCACGCAAGGCCAACATCATCATCATCATCATCATCAATAATAACCGCACACACGCTGAGGAAAAAGAGCCTTCCGGAGGGTCTGGCTCGGGAGTGGGCGGGCTGCGCTCGCGAAAGGTCAAGTTCTGGCTCTGCCGGCAGACGACCCTGAGGGGCACGGCTCCGCGGGCTGAAAAATGGCTCTCGGGGGCCGCCGCCCGTTGTGCTGAGGATCGACCACAGCGCCAGCCAACGGGCTTCTGTAATTGCTTTCCCCCGCCGCGAGGAGGCCAGGTTTGAGAACAGGGAGCAACGTGCCACGGAAGGGACCGGAGGCTGTGAGGGGCGGGCCGCACTTCCGGGGCTCATCTTGGTTTTCACTAACGTCTCGTCTGAGACTTCCTCCGCCGCCCCCAAGAAGCCGGCAGCTCTGGCCGAAGCTGCTTCGCCTCCGGAGCTCCCGGGCTCGTGTGCGCGCGGCCCGGGACACCGGCGCAGGGCGGGTGCAGGGCGAGGGCAGGGCGGGCCGACTCCGCCCCGCCCCCGTGCGTCAGCGCGTCGCTGCGCAGAGGCGTTTCCCGGGGCGTGCCGCGGTTGCTAGGCGACCAGGCCGCGCCCCCTCCCGCCCCGAGCTGGGTCTCTCCGCCCGCGTTCCGAGCAGTCGCGAGGGAGGGCACGCGGAGCTGCAGTGGCTGGCTGAGTCCCCAGGGAAGCGTCGCGCCCCCGGAGGCAGCCGTCCCGGCGGCGGCGCAGGTGGACTGGGCCCGCCGAACCCTCCAACCGCCGCCCCTCCCCCCGGGGCAGGGTCCCGAGAGCGCGGATGGGAGGCACGGCTCGCGGGCCCGGCCGGAAGGATGCGGGGCCGTGCGGGGCCGGGCTCCCGCCCCAGCAGCGGAGGTAACGGCGCCGCGGGGTAACGGGCTGAGAGGCACCCGAGGGAGCGGCTGGGGGGCGGGGACGGCCTGCGCCGGGATGGAGCGAGCCCCCGGCAGGGCGACGGAGGGAGAGGGGCTGGGGAAGAGGGGCTGACTCCCGCCCCGGGACCGGCCCCAGCTCCCGGGAGCGGGGAGGGGGCTCGAGCGGAGCCCCGGTTCTTTCGGGAGCCCTGCGGGCGCGGGCGCATGGTAAGGGGCATTGAGAGCCTGGGACTTTTTGTGGAGCTCCTGGGGGAGCCGGGGAAGAAGCCCTGTTGCTCGGAGCGCAGGGACGCCCTCGGGGTTCCGCGGAGCGGGTGCGGCCCGCCTGGGCTTTGCGGGTGAGGGTTCGCGGGCGCAGGTTGCGGGGTTTGCGCCCCAGTGGAGAGGAGGGGCCCGCCGCAGACTTCCTGTGGCTGAATCTCACGTTGCGGGCGAGTCCTGGTGGTCGGTGTTTTCGAGCGCTCGGGGCCAGAGGGGTGGGCACGGCTCGGATACTTAGTTTCTGGAGGTGACGCTGTGCCCTGCTAAAGATACAAATAAAGCGATCAGAATGCGAGCACGTTTTTAAAAAGAGAACATTCCAAAAATCTGCCTCGTTTTTTTTTTTATCCTTTGTATTCTCATAACATCAACAAGAAAACTCTAGAACTGATTTTACTAAGCAGTTTTTAAAGGCCACTAAACCACGCTAGGATATTTAAAAAGCCATTGTAAAATTCTTCGTCTGTTGCACGGTACTTGGTGATAGGGTGAAGCGCTGGTTTGTGTAACCTGCAAACCCCTGTTCCTGGTAGCTGATGAAATACATAATTCAAGACCATCTTGCAGATTAAATAAATCCTGGTGGGGCACTGTGTTAAAGAACAGAGAACTGATCCTTATTCATTTAACATTTTGGCTCCACCACCACCAGGAAATGAAGTGGGAACAGAAGGCACACTCAGTACATTTTGCAATTTAGAGCATCCCTTTAGAGTTTCCTGTCGAATTCACTGTATTTTTCTTCAAGTTAGGCAGATGTACCTAACATAAGTAGTTAAACCAGTCATAAATAAGGAGAAGACAGCCCTAAAAAGGCCTTTTATGTTGTGGCTGTAAGACCCAAGTCTGCAGACTGGCATTGTGCAGGCTCAGAGAACGGGCACAGCCCCGTGGCAGAGCTGGGAGTGGCATCCGCGTCTCTGACTTGGAAGAAGCCATGACCCCTTGTCACCTTTTTCTCGTCTGGTTTTTAGTCTTCAGATTTGAATGCCTTCATTTTCAAGTAGGAAATTAAATGAGATCCTGTTGGGAGCCCCTGTTTTTTAGACAACATTCAGAAAGTAAGACTTATTCTGGTTTAAAGCACAAACTTAGCGATGCTATCCTTTCTTTAACAAATTGAAGGAAGGGTCTGGCCTTGTGGCAAAGCCTGTTAAGCTGCTGCCTGCGGCACCCGCATCCCGTATGGGTGCTGGTTTGTGTCCAGTCCGGCTCCCTGCTAATGCACCTGGGAAAGCAGCAGAAGGCAGACCAAGTATTTGGGCCCCTACCACCCAAATGGGAGAGCTGGATGAGGCTCCTGGCTCCAACCCAACCCAGCCCTGTCTGTTGCAACATTTGGGAAGTAAACAAGCAGATGGAAGACCTCTGTGTCTCTCCTCTCTCTGTAATTCTAGCTTTCAAATAAATAAATGATTTTTTTTAAATAGGAAGAAAAAAGTTGGATTTCCTGTATTCCTTTCACATAAGCCAGTTGTTTGTGTTCAAAATAGAGACATTTACCTCTGCTCATTGCTTTTCATAGCAGATAGGAAGCAGTTAAGACATAGGGTGTTTTGGAAATACAAATTTATATTGTTTGATTGCTGACAGGGTTTTTTTGTGTGTGTGTGATCTTCTCCACTAGATTGGGGGATGGTGTCTATGATACCTTTATGATGATCGATGAAACCAAATGCCCACCGTGTTCAAATGTCCTGTGCCATCCTGCTGACCCGCCCCTGCCCAGAAGACTGAACGTGAGTACCGGGTCGTCCTTTGCCCTCCAGTTGTCTCAGAAAGCAGGAAGCATTACGTAGCACTGATGGTTCGGTTGTGGATCCCTGGCACCGAAACTGCTTTTGGTTTGTCTGTTTCCTTTTGATTTCTCCTGACTGTGGAATAACAATGACCGTGGCCCAAGTTGAGCCAGTTTGGAGCTCACCTTTTCCTTTGATTTTTCACTGGGGCAAATGTGTGGCATTAGGAAAGAAAGTGGGATGTGACATTCACATAGGTAAGGTTTTTTTTCCTAGAGGATGTCATACACAGGGTATTACAAAGCCTCCTTTTAGTAAAGACAAGGAACAGCAGAAATCCCCCAGAATTCATAGATCTACAGATTTTTTTCTCCTGCAAGGCAGAAATAAATTCCCAGCTTATTAGAACGCTAATAAAAAACCATCTTAGGGATCCTAAATAAAACGTGAACGGTACATTTTGGTTTTTGATACATGTCATCATTCTGAGGACTGCAGATACTTGGTGTCCGACGCTGTCTTCCTTAATATGATAAAGTTAATTCACATTCCCTCGGCACTCAGAGAGGAGCGGGCAGCGCAGGGCTGGGACTTATGCCAGGACAAGCAGAAGCCAGCCTGTGACTTCAGAATTCCCTGCATGCGTCATCTAGTGAACAAACTGAATAATCGAATTGACTAAATTGTAATCTTTTTCACATTTCTGTGATTGAGACCTGAACTTGCTTCTGTATGGAAAAGAGTCACCTGTATTGGCCGGCGCCGCGGCTCACTAGGCCAATCCTCCACCTGCGGCGCCGGCACCCCGGTTCTTGTCCCGGTTGCTCCTCTTCTAGTCCAGCTCTCTGCTGTGGCCGGGGAAGGCAGTGGAGGATGGCCCAAGTGCTTGGGCCCTGCACCCCATGGGAGACCAGGAGGAAGCACCTGGCTCCTAGCTTCGGATCAGTGCAGTGCGCCGGCTGTAGCGGCCATTTGGGGAGTGAACCAACGGAAAAAGGAAGACCTTTCTGTCTCTCTCTCACTGTGTAACTCTGCCTGTCAAAAGAAAGAAAAAAAGAAAAGAGTCACCTGTACTTCGCACGATTCTCCCAAGTTCTCATCCGTTTCTGCCGTTAGGATCAACCTTTTCACCACTTCAATGCTAATATTACAAAGTGTGGGCTAAAAATACTGGGAGGGCTGGCCACCCTATTTTTAATCTTCTGGAGCGCAGTAGGGTTTCTTTCTATTTCGACCACAAGTTTATTTCTTGAGTATGTAAAAACCTCTGCGGGCTGCAGAACCGCACGCCCCTCGTGTTGACCGTCAGACTTGGTGGACGCTTGGTGCACTCAGCATGGCCCTGTCAGAAACTCAGCTGTGGGCTAATTTAAAGTTCATTTTCACTTTAATTCAGAGCTGGCCAAAGCTGAACATGTTCCAGGAGGCCACCTCAGCTGGATGTTTCAGGATCAAGATGTGTGGTGTTGAGAGTAGCAGGTTGTGCGAGGCACAAGACTTTAGATTCTAACCTAACGGTGCTTTGCAAACTTTCCTGAGAAAGTCTGTGACCTCTAGGTGACACTTGAAGTTCATTATGCCGGGACTCCCTCCTGAGCCTGTACTGCTGTTTTCACTAAGTCTTTCAGCTTCATTATTTGTTCAAGATGCTGCTTTGTTCTCAATGTAGACAGTAAGTCATCTGCACTTGGACTTGCATTGGGTTAAGTTTTGTGTCGCAGGATTTAGAGTTGGGAGCTGGGGAAAGGGGGGGTTCCATATGTGGATGAGAGGACGTTTCTGCTGAATTTCGCAACAAGATCTTTTATAAGTTAATTTATACAGTGTAGGATTGTGCTTGGAACACCAGGAACCCTCCGAATTAACAGTGTATGCAAAGTATTTTTTTTTTCTTGAAGATTTATTTCTTTAGTTGAAAGTCAGAGAGAGAGAGAGAGGGAAAGACAGTGAGGGAGATCTTCCACCTGTTGGTTCACTCCCCAAGTGGCTGCAATGGCCAGGGCTGAGCCAGACCAAAGCCAGGAGCTCCTTGTCGGTCCCCCATGTGGGTGATAGGGGTTAAGTCTTGGGGCCCTCTTCTGATGCTTTTCTCAAGGCCATTAGCAGGGAACTGAATTGGAGTTGGAGCAGCCGGAACAGGGCCCATATGGGATGCTGGCGTCGCAGGTGGCAGCTTTACCCGCTGCACCACAACACTGGCCTCTGTGAAACATTCTTAAAAAATAAAGCATGGCGCCGGTGCCGCGGCTCACTAGGCTAATCCTCCGCCTTGCGGTGCCGGCACACCGGGTTCTAGTCCCACTCGGGGCGCCGGATTCTGTCCCGGTTGCCCCTCTTCCAGGCCAGCTCTCTGCTGTGGCCCGGGAGTGCAGTGGAGGATGGCCCAAGTCCTTGGGCCCTGCACCCCATGGGAGACCAGGATAAGTACCTGGCTCCTGCCTTCGGATCAGTGCGATGT